GTTAAATAAGTAAGGAAGGAGTGGTTTTCATGGCATCAGTCTATTTTCAGATATAGAATCATAGAATGGTTTGGGTTGGAAGGGACCTTAAGATCATATCATGATATTCTCTATTCCATTATACAAGCTGGTCATAACCCCCTTAAATCATAGAATCATAGAATCGTTAGAGTTGGAAAGGACCTTAAGATCATCTAGTTCCAGGCCCCCTGCCATGGGCAGGGACACCCTACGCTAAATCATATCATCCAAGGCCTTGTCCAACCTGGCCTTGAACACTGCCAGGGATGGAGCATTCACAACCTCCCTGGGCAACCTATTCCAGTGCCTCACCACCCTAACAGGAAAGAATTTCCTCCTTATATCCAACCTAAACTTCCCCTGTTTAAGTTTTAACCCATTACCCCTTGTCCTATCACTACAGTCCCTAATGAAGAGTCCATCCCCAGCAACCCTGTAGGCCCCCTTCAGATACTGGAAGGCTGCTATGAGGTCTCCACGCAGCCTTCTCTTCTCCAGGCTGAACAGTCCCAACTTCCTCAGCCTGTCTTCATACGGGAGGTGCTCCAGTCCCCTGATCATCCTCGTGGCCCTCCTCTGGACTTGTTCCAACAGTTCCATGTCCTTTTTATGTTGAGGACACCAGAACTGCACACAATACTCCAAGTGAGGTCTCACGAGAGCAGAGTAGAGGGGCAGGATCACCTCCTTCGACCTGCTGGTCATGCTCCTTTTAGTGCAGCCCAGGATACGGTTGGTTTCTGGGCTGCAAGCGCACATTGAAGCCGGCTCATGTTCATTTTCTCATCGACCAGCACCCCCAAGTCCTTCTCCGCAGGGCTGCTCTGAATCTCTTCTCTGCCCAACCTGTAGCTGTGCCTGGGATTGCTCCGACCCAGGTGTAGGACCTTGCACTTGGCATGGTTAAACTTCATGAGGTTGGCATCAACCCACCTCACAAGTGTGTCGAGGTCCCTCTGGATGGCATTCCTTCCTTCCAGCATATCAACCGAACCACACAGCTTGGTGTCATCGGCAAACTTGCTGAGGGCGCACTCAATCCCACTGTCCATGTCACCAACAAAGATGTTGAACAAGACCAGTCCTAACACCGATCCCTGAGGGACGCCACTCGTTACTGGTCTCCAGCTGCACATTGAGCCATTGACCACAACTCTTTGCGTGTGGCCATCCAGCCAGTTCTTTATCCACCGAGTGGTCCATCCATCAAATTGATGTCTCTTCAATTTAGAGACAAGGATGTCGTGTGGGACAGTGTCCAACGCTTTGCACAAGTCCAGGTAGATGACATCAACTGCTCTACCCCTGTCCATCAGTTCTGAGGCCCCATCATAGAAGGCCACCAAATTGGTCAGGCAGGATTTCCCCTTAGTGAAGCCATGCTGGCTGTCACCAAGCACCTTGTTGATTTTCATGTGCCTTAGCATGCCTTCCAGGAGAATCTGCTCCAAGATTTTGCCAGGCACAGAGGTGAGACTGACTGGTCTGTAATTCCCCTGGTCATCCATTTTCCCCTTCTTGAAAATGGGGGTTATATTTCCCTTTTTCCAGTCATTGGGAACTTCATCTGACTGCCATGATATCTCAAATATGATGGACAGTGGCTTCGCAACTTCATTCTCCAGCTCCTTCAGGACCCACAGGTGGATTTCATCAGGTCCCATGGACTTGTGCACGTTCAGATTTTTAAGATGGTCTCGAACCAGATCCTCTCCTACAGTGGGCGCAAGGTCTTCATTCTCACAGTCCCTGCATCTGCCTTCCAAGACTTGGGTGGTGCAGTCAGAGCCTTTGCCAGTGAAGACCGAAGCAAAGAAGTCATTCAGAACCTCAGCCTTCTCCAAATCAGACTGATCCAAGCAGTGTAGACTCCCAAGCAACTTTTCTTGATCCATCTTTCCCTTTTTTAGCATAACTAATAAGTATTCTCTGTGTGGTTCTCCAATCAGTATTGCATCAGCCTAGACCCGCTCCATCTACTACAGGTTCCCTCAGTTAATTTGCTGAGGAGTATCGTGTTGCAATGTGACGAAAGCCTCACCACCATCAAAATACAGCACTACTATCGCTTCTCCCTTATCAAGGAGTTGTTTTCATTCTGTCATGAAAGGAAATTTGACCCGTTTTCCACAATTTGTTTTTGACAAATCTCTGCTGGCCATTATTCATGTCTTTGTTTTGTTTTAGGTGCTTACCGAAGTTTGATTGTTTGTTCCAGTATTTTTCCAGGAATTGAAGTTAAGCTGAACAATCTGTAATCCCTGGCTCCTCCTTTTTTTCCCTTTTAAAATCAGGAACTACGTCTGCACTTTTCCAGACTTCCAAGTATGATCTCTGGGCTCTGTAACATCCCAGAAGCCAGGTGAGGTGATGCCTAGAGCTTTTGTGGTTAAATAACTGGCTGGAGCAATTACCCTACGGTTACATTCATCTGGCCCAACTGACTTAAACACTATGTGAAGGATCTTCTGATCTAGTCTTTGTTATAGTTTTGTGATCTCCCCCCCCCCGACATTGATTGCATTATTTGTCTGAAGCAATAACATGCACAAAAGGTATGAAACACACTGGGACTCTAGCCATGAACTGTCAATAGCCTTTCTTCCTCACTGGAGTTACCTGGGTCTCCCTCTTGCTGCTAAAGTAGTGATAGGAAAACTACTTCTTACTTTAAAGTCTCTTTCTAATTGGATTCCATTTTGCTGCTTGACCTTTGTGATTTTGTCCTCACTTATCTAGCCCAGCTTCTGCATGCTTTTTTTTCCCTGAGGCTGAGACCAAAGAAGAGCTGATGATTTCTCCAAGTTGATTTACATCTGCCATGAAGATTCTGGGTTTTGGATAGCCAATGCTTGTTGCTGTTCTCTCCAAGGTGCTTTCTACATGATTAAAACTTCTCCCTAGCCGAAGGTTCGGAATGATATGCCTTTAATTACCAAGTAAGTGGCGGTTTACCTTGGTCTACTAAGGGTCAGAAGCCTGACCTTTGTTTCCACCTCATACCAACTTTAAGGCTCCGCCTGGGATCATTCAGTGTCTGCTGGTCAGTTTTGGTTTAACCTTGTGTCCTTATTGTAAGAGATGGGTGCAAATCACAAGGTGTTCTGACCCAGACCTGAACTTTACATAGTCCCAAATGCTAGAAATGTTTACATTCATCTCAAGTTCATCTCAACTGCTCATCAGAAATACACCTTTTCCCATTTGGGTACTTTTTTTGCTGGCTTCCCTCTCAGCTGATCATGAGGGCAGAACAGACCGGGCTGAGGAAGTGGGGAACATGTTTGTGTTTGTGTACATATGAAAAACTCAAAATTCACTAGTCACGTAACCCTCCTAAACTCCTCCCTGCACAGAAACTCCAGCTTACCTTCTGTCGTCACATACCCTTCTCATCAGTAACTCGAGCTCGCTGCTTGAGGAAGCTGAAGCAGCAATGCTGTAAATACAGCACTGTTACACTGCTATAATGGTGCTCTTTCAAAAGAGCAGCATAGGCAGCCAAAAGGGGAAGGAGTTCAGGCAGTCTTTCTGTTGCCCAAGAGGAAGTGAATTTCAGATAGTGCTTCAGTTCCCTTTAATTATGGTTCACCATAAATGAACAGCTAAAACATCAGTTGATAGTAAGGCCATACAAGCAGGGACTTCCAGAAGCACAGGCACAAAGGAAAAGGCAGAGAAAGCTGGCCCCTTGCCTAGCTGTGAGTCGCCTTCCTTCCCATTCTGCTGCTTTTGTTTTTAGGGTTCCTGTGCGTTTTGCAGTGTCAGCCAGTTGTCAGACAGGAGAAGACAGCCTTGCATGGGCTTTAGTTAAGCGTGAGACCTCAGGCCCCTCCTAGACCCTAGGCTGGGACATGTTCACTACTGCTAACTGCTGTTAAACCAAAGCAATGACCTAAATTGTAAATCAAGTAACAGAATATGCCGCTGATTAAACTGTGATATATAGGAACTTACACAGTATTTATGGATTGTTAGAGGTTAACACTAGAAGGAGCAAACCATAATGGCTGTCTTGGACTCCTCTAACAGAGTTGTTATCCAACCTTAACACGGCAATTTTCCATGGTAGAAAAAATACTTTCTCTCAGCCTGGGCAAATTGCACCAATGGCACAGTACCTCCTGATCAGCCACTCTTCATGTGACTTCTGGTCTGAATTTGGTGTGCTTTCAGCCTCTGGATCTTGTTTTGTCTTGTCTTACTCCTTCCCCATGTTAATATGCATAAATCATGTGTGACCCATGTGTAAGGAGCCTGATAGCACAGAGGCATGAAATGTATCACATTTAAAAAGTAAGAGAGCATGACAGAGACATTTCCAGCTTTGATAAGGAATCATTGGAGAATACTTGGCAAGAAAGAAGAAAGAAAAACACTATGCTTGGAAAAAGGGAGAGGTGTGTCTTGTTAAGCTGGGAAAGAGATGGAGGGGGCATCAAACTACAGACAAGTTCCTTGACTGTCTTGCACTTTACCACTGTTTAACACCAGGTGCAAAATGGGTAGAAAATGACATTAAACCAGATTGTGGTGTAGGGTAATGGATAATCCGAAGTTTTTCCCTAAGAGTACATCCCACTATCTAAAGCTATATTTATGTGAGGAATGCATTTACTGATTCAGGTTATATTAGCAAAACCAGCGTGTTTGCTAGCATGGCTCAGCCAGGCAAAGTAAGGGGCAACAGTGGCATCCCCCCACCCCACCTTATCTCATCATACCTTTGGCTACAGTCCTGCTGGCAAAAGCTGTGATAGAAAGATTGGAGGAAGGAGAAATGAGAGTGGAGGATGTGCTAGATGCCAAACACCTGATTCCTCTTCAGAGGGAATCCCTCCACAAGAAAAGCATTGTCTTGCAACAGCCTGCAGAAGGGTGGGCTGATACCTGAAAGAGATTAGAACAGTAAAGCTGCACTCAGGCTGAGCTGCCATGTGGAAAATCCATCACTCTCCATGCAGCAAGGGTCCCTATAAGCTCCTATAGCTGGAGGGGAGGGGATATGACTAGAAGTAGGGGGAGAGATTAACAAAAACATATTTGCACATTTAAAGGCTGACCTTATCTTTGGAAATAGCTAACTTCATCCCTTGCAGTAGAATTGAGCAGTCCATGTGCCTCACCTGCACAGCAAGAGGGGAATTTTGGCCAGAGGGAGGTATTAAGGTGGGGAGAAAGACCTCCAGGCAAGGAAGGTTAACATAATTATTTACAATAATGGATTGCTGTTTAATAAGAGCTATGAGGTGGCTTCCCAAAAACAAACGGTCTCCTTTAGGGGCTGTGGAAGAAACTATCAAGTGAAACCAGCAAGAATCTGTGTTCTAGCTGAGGCTGTCAGAGTTTTGCAGGGAAAACTGCTGTTTGCCACCACTGCCCCCTCCCCAGCCCAGAGCTGTGCTGGCCAGCAGGAGCACAGCTGTCCACCCCTTTCTGCCCCCGCAAGAAGAAAAGCTTCATATTGAGGTGAGTGCTCATCTCATGGCTCTCATGAGTAAGAGTATGCGTGGGGCAGGCTCTTATTTCTGCTCTGTGGTACATCATTCATACGGACCCTCAAAATACAGCTCTGACAAGCAATCTGGATAATTCTCAGATTGAAGGAGAGAATGCACTGTCAGTTTCTGCACTCTGCCACTGTCCTTCTTGCCAATGAGGAATTAAACCCTACGCTGGTTTCTTCTGCTGAACGCAGACCTTCTGACAGGCTTCCCTATCAGCCTGCAGCCTCTCGTGTTCTCTAGCTCTTCAAGATATCTGTGCTCACAGAGACATGCTGTGGCAGGACTCCTTGCTCTCCTGAGGCAGCAAACACTGGCCACAGTCAAAGGAAAGGCACTTGCCAGAGATCCCAAGGACAGAACTGTGTGAGGTTTTGCTCGGCAGCACTTTGTTTCAATGCGCGAATCCCTCTGAATCATACGCTTGCTCTGGTTTTGTAAAAGCTGGTGCAGATCAAACAAAGTAAGCAACACTGTTTCCAAGGCAAACATTCCATGTTTGCATTCAGATTTGACCTCTATTGTCTCCGAGGTGCATGAGTCTTACTTAACTTTTATCTTGCTACTCCTCAGGAGGCTAGATGAGCTGAGAGGACACAGTAATGGGCTATGGGACCTCTCTCACCTGCAGCCTTCATTTCTAAACAGCAGCCTTGGCTGAGGCTCCAGCTTGCTTTACAAATATTTAAAGGGCTGTTTTACACAAACTCTCAGGAAAACAGTTGTACGTTTGTTGCTACCTAACATTTTGCAAGGAAGCGAAGCTGCCACCGCTACTTTGATAAAAGAGTTCTCCATCACGGGGGTGGCAGGAAAAAGGGGGTGAAATAAGACAACTCTTCTCAGCTTGCCTCAATTTAATGAGCTCCTAAAGGAGCCTTATTGTTCACCCTGTGCTTTCCTCCATTGTGAACTTCTCAGCCTCATCAAAAAGAGCTTCTTTTCTTCCTTTTTTTTTTTTTTTTTAACTTTTTTTTCCCTTTAACTCAGGCTCTGTTTGATCAGCCCTTTCCCCTTTTTTTCCGCAATCCCCCACATCACGCTGGAACTGGTACCAGTGGAGCATATCGGCATGCCCTAGCAACACAGAGATTAAGGGAACTACCAGCTCCAGAGGACAGGCTGGTTTGGACTTACTAATTAACTGCAATGAAAGAAGTGAAAGAGAACAGCCCTTTCTTTGGGGTAGAAGAGGCACTAGAGGTGGATGAAGGAGTTCAGCTAAAAGAAAGTCTCCCTCCCCCAAAACACGTCAACATTCAGACCGATCCTTTCCTAATAAGACTTTGTGTACGTATGGAGTTTGTATGGATGGGGAAAGGCTGACAGCAGTCAAAGCCTGATGCAGAAAAACACAAGTCGGACTGAAGTCAAACCGCGGCTGACCCAGCCTCGTGTGCAGTGCTCTCAGATGGCTGGGACCCATGCATCAGGTCCAGATGCTGCATCCAGAAAGGGATGTGCACATGCAGAGGCAGGGCTCCCATGCAGGGAGAAAGGCTGGACCCTTCAGGGGTTTGCAATGAGACATGGGCAGGCCTGTCCCCTTCAATCCTTGGCAACCTCCTGCAGCCCACCTTTACTGACCGTACCCCTGAACATCAGGCCACAGGCTCCCTTCACACCAAACCCTGGTCAGAGCCTGTCTGTTTTTAGTCAGCCGTAGCCTCTGCTGGTAAATCTTTTCTGAATTATGAAATACTTGCAGCGTGTGTCTCTTTCCTCACTGTTTTTTAACCGTTACTTTTTGGGTTGCTGCTTATGGGTGTTTTGCCCTGGGCTGGGCATGGAAGTGAAACTGCTGAAATTCCTGCAAGCAGGGCAGGGTGGCCGGTGTTTCTGTCCCCAGCAGGAAGCACCAGATAAGATGACAGGCAGCAGCTTCTGGTAATTCTCCAGCCCATTTCACTAATCCATAAAGCCTTACCCAGACTAGGTGAGTTTTTAACAATCTGCAGCTTGGTGGCCTATCCAAACCAAACACGCATCTCCTCGCATGTGCTCCAGTAAGTCAGCTGGGATGGGGTCCTGCTTATGTCCCAGGCAGACAAAAAAGAGGAAGCCTGGCCACAGGGGATGCCCCACTGTGGCGTGGCTGCTGAGTTGGTCTCCAGTGCTGGTGTGTTCCCCATTTCACTCAGCAAATCCTGTATACCCTCCTGCAGAGAGCACCTTCCCAGAGCAGCAAAACCTCCGCGGGGGGAGACAAACCGGAACCCAGAAGCTTCATTTTCCAATCAAACACAAGAAACACCATCCTACCGCTCAGGATCCCCAGCCTTTGCCAATGCCTGCCATGGCCCAAGGGGATGGAGGCACCACATGGGTTTCCACCCTCCTGATGCGCGGTGGCTGAAGCAGGTGGCAAGGCCATGGTGGTGGGATTGTTGCAGGAGGATGGAGCAGGTGAGCGGGTTGATGGTCCCTGCCACTCCCCTGGGAGGTGCCGCGTCCTGTGTTGAGCACAACAAGATGCAATGCAGGGTACAGCATGTTACTAGCCCAGGAAGGGTTAGATGACTAAATAGCTCTTCTTCACCTCTGCTGTTGGCGAGAGATGTACTGTAGTCACTGAAAACTTTCCTGAAACAAATGCCACGAGAAGGGAACTGTGAAATCCTGTGCCTCAGTCTGAAAGATGTTTTTCCCCAAGTAAAGCCATGAAAAAAACGGTACTATCTTACAAAACAGAACCGTGCCTTGGCATATTTAGCTTTGGATCTGCTGGTATTAGAGACAAAGTCAGATTTTATTACTTTTTATTTCTCTTAGCCCTGCAGCACCAACACAGACAAGCCATGCAAATTAACTGCACAATCTCTTCTTTCTTGAGCACCAGAAGTGATTTCTATCTTTGTTTTTACTGCATACTGATTCAACCCTAACCTTGCTAACATACCATAGGCCATATAGAGTGTCTTGTAGCTTCATGAAACTTGTGTATTTTATTCTTCGTTCAGGCGTGCTGCTTTCCAGAGTTAATCTCTATGGACTTCAGTTAAATTTGTGTGGCCTGCCGTTGATTTCACCCTCTTAAATTTTGCAGGACCTTGCCATACGTGTTTGTATGTGATTGTTTTTCAGTGCTGTAAAGACCTGTGCTTGAAATCTGCTACTGCCTGCAACGTTCTGGTGCCTGGGAAGGGAGGAAGTGCTCCAGAGCTGCAGGTCCCCAGTGGGAACACAGAAGGGTTAACTGGCTGCTGCCTGCAAAGACTGTTTCATGGGACTCTTCAGATTTTAAATGCTGAGAAGGGACATGAAACAATAATCCCCTAGAGAACATGCTGAATAATTCAAGGTTAGTTAAAAATAAATAAATAAAAAAACCAACTTTAAAATATTTTGCTGTTAACAGTTTAGCCTTTCTTAATATAGCTTGGAGGAGCAGGCTGCTTTCCAAAAGGCCTTGTTATGGTATTTAATGAACCCTAGGGACCATTACACTATAAATATGCATCATATTTGTACAGATGCATTGGGCAACGTGTTGCAATGCTAGGGTTAAAAGTCATTTCCACAGATTCCCAACCAAGATAAACTCATCCACACCCCCGAGGTGAGTAGTATTTAAACCTGTGTTTGTATAAAGAAGGCAGTCAGGCTTTCCAGCACCTGGAAAATGGGCAGGCTTATCTCTTGGTTATCTCTCACGTTCCGCTTTTATGTGTAAATTTGTCTCCTGGAGCAGTAATCGGTTGTCAGTGTCCTCTCTGTCTCAGGGCCCCTCACTGAAGGCCAGCATCTCCTCCACCTGCAGGCAGCAGCAGCAGCCATCTCACCATGCCTCCGGAGGGAATGCTTTAGGTTGGTCCCCCCCAAACCACCAGGACCCACCAGCCAGAGCTGGACAAAAGCTCTTTCCAGATGGCATATGCATAGATGATTAAGACCCATTTTAAACTGCTGCTTGGCTTAACTAAACTAATACCCAGGTAATGGAATATTCTAATAGAACCTGAATTAAGGCAGGATATTTTTAACTCATACATGTGTGTATAAACACACACACACCCACGGAAATATAGCTGGGGTGACTCTGTTGCGTTTTCTGAGAAGACTGTGGGTTGAGACCAAATACGGAAAACATTACCCAGAAAGTGCTGAAGAAAGAAGGAACAAAAAACCCCTACACCTCACACGCAGTAGAAGTAGGTGCTGCATCCGTCACACGCACACAAACAGGAACAGCCTCTGTGGTCATGCCTTGGAGAGGGTGCTGGAGAGAAACACATTACCTCACAAGTGGGATTTCAGACAAGAGCCCCAAAACCTCTCATCAATCTGCTACAACAGATGGAGGCAAAATATCTAACTGTTATGGGCCAGCACACCAGGGCAACGAACAACCCTGCAGAGGGAAAGCTCGGGTTTAACATTGCAAGTGCTCAGGCCACCTCGTTTAAAAGCTATATGGTGCAGTATAACAGCTACAAACTTCAGACTGCTTTTTCTCCCGGCAGAACAAGCTGCTTCTTGCTTCCATCTTCTCCCATTTCCGCATAGCCCACAGGCAAACCGGAGTGCCTTTGCTTCAGAAAGCAGAGCATTCCTTTTCAGCATCAAAGGGGCATGGAGAGCGTGTGGCGATCGCTTCACACACACACTGAGGCACATTTTTTGCTAGAGGCTTCCAGAGCTGCCTGTGCGGCTACTTGCCCCTGCCTGTTCAGCTCATCAGCACACAGAGGTGTGTACGGCCGTTAAACTAACATTACATCACCTGGGATGCTGGAAGTGAGCTGCCTGATTCCTCACACGGGGGATACGAGGCTCCGCCAAGCTCCTTGGGCGTCACTTTTCTTTCTTCCTCATTTCATGGGTTGCGTTGGGGTTTATGTTTTTTCTCTTTCAGTATTTCTTCCAAGAAGGGATTAGGTGTGATGGGGCCGGCACTGCTCTGTGTGAAGAAAAGGGATCCATCTGTAGGAAAGACATGAGTTGTTTATTTGCAGCTTGGATGACTCCAGGAATCCCAAAGCAATATGCTGGACACCAACAGCATGATGACTGTGCAGAATTACCCTCTGCATAGTGGCAGAGCAGACCCAGCTTCGGGCATTAGTATGGCTCTGGGAACAGCACTTCAGCTCTTTGATGGAAAGCTTTTGTAAAAAATCAAGTGCCCGCATGGGATTGGAATCGTAATAATGATCTTTTGCACTTCAGTATAAAAAATAAGGTGCGAAATCAAGCTGCTGGTCAGTGGTCATATCTATTGCCACACTAAGTCCTCAGCTGCTGTATTCCATTCAACGAACTATTTTGATGCAGGCCTGACAACACCAGGAACACTGCTTTGTCTTGCTTTTACCCACAGGAAACGTGGAACATCAACAAACCAGCATTTTTGTGTCAAAGACCCGTGGAAACTGCTTGCTGGGACAGGACAGAGAGAGGTGCTAAAGGAAACCTGCCCAGCCCTGGCCTCGAGCATGTCTGGAGCAGAGCACAGCCCACCCTCTGCACGCTGGGGAGTTCTGCAGGGCTCAAGGGAGGAAGTAGCTGCAAAAGCTCCTTCTTCTCAGTGAGCTCAGCAGCTGCACCTCCAAGTGCGCAGCTTTGACCTATTTCACCAGTCACACACACCAGTTCTGCACTGGCGTCAGCACAGTGACGTCAGTGGGATTACTCCATCCCTGCATGAGAAAACACTCGGACCCAAAGAAGATTCACTGCTGAGGAAGATGCTCTTTAGACACATTTCCTAGCCTAGCCACCCCTGCAGGAGACCAAACTAAGGTTTTGCTACATGTTTGCTCATTTTATATATCAAAATATTTGTCTTTTGGGAGCTCTCAGCACCAAGCCAGGATACCTGCCCCTCAGTGTGTGTGTTTACTGTCCTACTAAGAGATCCCAGTCAGCAAGGACTGAGTTGCAATGCCTGATGTACCTAAGTGACACAAACACTGGGGCAAATGCACTGGATTAAGAGCTGCTGGGGTTAGAAGAGGTGCCAGAGAAGCCATGGAGCCCAGGCTGCAGCACCATGCGTTCATCACACCTTGTCCCTTCCTGGTCAGTCTCCCTAGGGCAATGGCAAGACCTAGCAGAGGTGACTTTCTGGGATCCAGAGATAAGCAGGATATAGATCCCAGGAGATGGAGCAGGAGGAATGCATTTGAAGCCTTTCTTGTGGGTGTTATGTTGTACAGTCTTTCTTGCCTTTGCCCCCTAATTGTGCTAATTTTTT